GAAGTAGATGAAGTCTCGCTTTTCCCCCCTTGTTTTGAAAGCAATACCGAATTATTCATTTGTTTGGATTAATTATATTTTATTCGTCTTACATCTTCGATCTAATATAAATAAGTAAGAAGATTATTACTATAGCCTGCTGTTCTTTTTTTTCCGATTGTAATAACAGCTTGAATATATATATAAATGAAGTTTTCTCATTTTAATAATGTTAAGAAAATGCTTTTGAAACTAGACCACAACTTTTGAAGGCAGACGGTAGATATTGTAAACTGAGTTAAATAAAAGCACTTATCCCGAGGCTAAATTCTACCATCTGGGATAGATCGATATATATATACTAAGCATCTTACCATTAGACATATTGCCACATGTTAATAGATTTCATTCAAGCTTTTCTACTGCCAATGCTAAACGATTGTTAGTTGTGAATCTTATAGTTTTAGTCTTAGGAAATAAAATATATTTAGGAAGAATTAATTGTATTTTATGAGCATTATTAAAATTATACAAGTCAACAAAAAATGAGACAATAAAGTTCTGAAAATAAAAATAAATATTTTTGCTTGTTTATTCTATTTGAATTTTATATACTACCAAAACCTAATGGTTTCAGTCCTTCAATAATTTGTCCATTTAGGAAGACATTATTTCTGTCTTTTGCATAGCCTTTATTGAGCACTTCGAATGAAAATGAATGAGCATGTGCAATAAATTGTCCCATAAAAAATACATGATGACTGTCTTTACCTAAACAGTACTAAGTTAATCTGTTAGAAGATTTTAATAATATATAGATCAAAACACAACATACCATATCCTTGTCCTAAATCTGTAAAATCTATCCATCTTGCATCAGGCACATATTGATCATTAAAATAAACTTTAAAATCTCGTATTTCATATGAAGTTTTATGAGTAGATATTCGACTTAAATCGCTAGAATTCGTGGATTGCTTACTTATGGTTCCACCATTACAATTAATAGACGACTGAGAATTATAAGGTTGAAGATTTGCTACGATTCGTCCATGTTGAAAAACATATTGATAATCTTTCGCATAAGTATTATCAGCTACTTGAAAAGAAAATGGATGAGCATTTTTCATAATTTGACCCATGTAGAAAACATGATTATCATCTTTACCTAAAAATTCATCAGAATAAAAAAAGTTCAAAGAAACATAAAAACATACCATAACCATGACCTAGATCTTTAAAATTTGACCAATTAGCATCAGGTAGATGTTCATCATTAAAATAGACTTTAAAATTTCGTATTTCATATGAAAACATTTGTGTAGAGGTTCCATCTAACATCCGCGAATGAAACATCTATAATTATATTGATACATTTGGATTCATTTATACAATATAAAGAGATATGTTAATATAAAAATAATTTTCACTTTTTATTATATTTTGTATGGATAGAAAACTTAAATATATTCTCTTCTGTGTAATTGAGGATTTATTTGTTCTCGTAACTATTCTAAAAATACTATATATGTATCTAGGTATCAACCGGATTTATGATAAAGGAACACTAGTACATTCAGTAGCTAAATGGAAATATAAGCAAATCGAAGTATATTATTAAACTATTATAACTTCCTATTCTCGAACTGATAGGTACGTCTAAAAATAAGAAGTAAGAAAAAATAAAATTGTTTATATTAACCGTAAACCTTAATTTTCAATCATGATTGTTGATAGTAGATAAAAAGATGTTTTCCATGTTTTTCTGTTGATTACAATATGTCGATGGTATATATATATATGTTCAATTTAATTTCTGAGAGTTGTATAAATAGGCGTACTATTTGCCTTATATTAATAAGACCTGATATAAATATGTAGGCGTATCATGACTCCAGAAAGCACTTCTTATATTCATCTACTAATATAAATAGATTTTCATATCAAGGAAGTTACGGTACGTAAAGGAAGAAAAAGAAAAGGAAAAACGTTACAGACACCATTTTAGATGAATATTAAATTCTCTTTTCTAAAACGTTCATGACAGTTCAGTACAATATTTTTACTAATATAAATAATTTACAATTAAATTACGATTACAAATAGATAATATAAAGGTTATATGAGTAGTTATCATTGTGCACCTGATTGTAAATGTCCTTTTTATTTCAGATATTGTGATTATCTATGCAATTATTATATACTTCAATACAAATGGAATATTAATTAGAGTTTTTTCAATTAACTTATAAGAAAACGCAGTCCTGCGTACAAAAAAATGAAGTTAATGTTTCCGCCTCATTTTTACACTTTCTGCAATCCGTATGGTACAAGACATGCACTTTTAAAACAAGGTAAGAAATAAAACTATTTAGAATTTGATAGAAATATGAAAATATTTGGTATATAATAGGTTTTATGTTGGGAAGTATCAAAATACATTGATTTTACAATACAATAAATCGAATGAAAACGAATTTAGAGTTGTGCATAGCGTCACCTATCCATTTCGTATGTAATTAGTCTACAATTCCAGTAGTGTCTAAAGTTTCGATTATCTAATTTTTATGAACTAAAAGCAATCAGTGATGATAGCTTTCATTTAAATTAATATATATGTTGTTTTAGATGTTAAAACGAACAGTTTCCTCTCTCGTTTCGGCTACTATTAATAATCGTCGTTTATTTTCATTGACAACAATATCAAATCGGCAAACAACTAGAAACGATAATGAATATTCAGATGAAGTCAATAATCAACATCGTCAATTTAACAAATTTCATCCACGCTCATCGAATTTTAAAAATAAAAATAAAGATGTTAAAGAAGAAGAATTAAATGATATCAAACCTAAATTTAATAGATATAATACCACTCGATTACATTCAAGAAATCCAACAAAGAAGAAATCAATCGAAGATGATGAAAATGATTTATTTTCTGAGGAGAAAGATAATCTAACAATGCTTGGAACAGACACAAAAGCTTTTTCTTCATCCTCGAATAAACCCATTCAAAAACCAACTGCTACCGCTATTTCTTTGAATAAAAGAACAGAGATGTAAGTACAACGAAATTCATCTAAATATAATTTCGTTTTGATATTTTTCTTTCAGTTTAAATGTACCACTTGAAGTTTTAATTCAACCTGATTTACGTGATTTATATACTGATGAAAACATTCATCAATCTCTTGAACTTTATATCAATGAAATGTATCCAGCTCTACGTCCATTTACATTTGATTTAGCTTATTTAATAAATGAATCGGAAACATTAAAACGTTTTATTGAAATGGGTGTCGATGTTTACCGTTGGAATCAACCTAATGCCAAAGCAAAATATATTCTAACACTTAATTTTGAACGTGATTGTCTCCAACATCTTGTTTTTCTTAATGAATTAGGTATTAAAAATAAATCTCTTGCAAAATTTCTTAGTTACAATCCATGGATATTTAAAGAAACAATCGATGATCTACGTATACGTATAAATTATCTTGAAAGTAAAGGATTTAGTCAAGAAAATATTTGTGATATACTTACGCGTGCACCATTTTTAATTAATTTAAGTACAAAAATGCTTGATACAAAATTAAATTGGTTTAGAAAAAAATTTCATTTAACAGATAAGGAAGTTCAAGAATTTGTTCTTAGTGCACCGAAACTTATAAC